CAAATTAATAAAAAAGATTCTTAAGTATAAGCAAAAAAAAAAGAAAAAAACTCTAAAGCCATCAGGTCAATAAATCAATAAAAGAGCAATCACAAATCACATTTTCATCTTTGTTGTCGTTAAATTGTTTCAATGTGATTTGATTTGGTTTAGTTCGGCTCGGTTTGTCATTTCATCGCAATAACAAAGTGCTCAATAATCACTTCCTTTTCTCATGTCCAACAAAACAACAAAATTGATGCTTACATTGATATAGAATCACAATTGTTTTTATTTCTTTCCGCTTTCAGATTATCGAGAGTATCCGACGATTTGATGTTTTTGTTGCAAAAGTTTATTTTTTCGTTGTTTTTAAATTTTTTGAGTTTCTTTTTTTTGAATTTGTACTGGTTTCAATTAAAGGATACAGATATCACCTGGACGATGATATACGAGAATCTCTATTTGGATTTTTGTTTTGTTTTTTTTTTTTTTTGAGTCCAATTAAAATATTTTTACTTTTCTGATGCAGAAAATAATGAAAGTTTCTAATAAAAATTATTTAAGATATAAGAAGAAATAAAATAAGTTCAATTGATTTGTATTTCTTCGTGGCTCTTAAAATATTGGGTTACTTTGTGTTTTAAAAATAAATTAATTTGAGTATTTACAAATGAAATGGGAAAATAATGAGAGTAGAAAAAGTTAGTCGCGTCAATATATATGAATTTTCTTCATGATATTGGTTCTGTTGCTAAGTTATGTGCGATTAACTTTTTACTGACCATATTGCATAAAATAAGGAAGGTTATATGATGGCACCAAAATTTCGGATGTCGAATTTTCAGTGGAAACGCACTTTTCCATAATAGGGAAGCGTAAATAAATTATTTTCAAAAAGATGTCGGTTCGTCGGTCTTTCGCGGTGCACGCGTGTATCTCCTATCTCAAAAACCATTTTTGTTGAAATTTTATTATGAACCGATTTTTGATGTGAAGCTAATTTAGCTATGGCACGGTTGATCAACTTTTGGGATGTATTTGACTTCATGAACTGAACCAAACTTAAGAGCGTAGATTTTATAAGCACATTTAAATCCATTGTTAAAGTAATATATATTTTTCTTCATAAATTTTCAGAAAAACAAAAATTGCTTTATAAAATTTTTTACTCTGTGTGCACAGTTTTTCAAGAAAGTTTTAACATGATCAACACTGTTTTCGCTAGTACTGTAATTTCTTAAAACTTAACAAAATATGTATGTATGTACCTTAAAAAAAATCATCTATATAACCCGTAGATTTCCCACCGGATTCCACATGTAATAATCATTTATCTTGTAAGTGTTTGTAAATTCAAAATGGCTTCAGTAAACCATTAACATTTATTTTATTACATTACAATTATTTGTAATAATTCCGTGTATAACAGTACTAAAAAGTTTTGTGATTTGAGAGATTTTTAAATTAAATAAAAGTTTTAAGTACCAGTCTCATCAGATTTTTCGAAATTATAAAAATGCCATTGTAAAGGAAATCATGAAAGTCAGAAGTAAATGCATTTTAAATATTCAAACATTCTGGAAAATTTTACATGTACCAATTTAAATATTACCATAAATTTAAAACTTAATTAACATTATATTCAATATCATAGTACATCATTAAGTATTTCAAAATAATAGAAGGACTTTCCTTAAAACATTAATCAAGAGCTATTGTACCGTTATATGACAATGTAATAATGAAATCAAGAAAAGAGATTACAATAATTTACAGTTAAAAACTAAATTAAATTTCCCTAAGCAATCAATATAAATTTGTTACATATTGAAGATGTAGTTGAAGCTCTCTGGTATATTTTCCTAGAAAGAAGTATAACAAAATAAGAAGCACAGTACATTAACGTTACATTAAATTCTATAGCAAAGCACTAGTAATAACGGTGGCGGCGTGGGATATTTCTTTAATTTTTCTTTAATTTAACATTTATTTTCTTTTTATTTTACTAATTGTTACAAGTAAAACAAAAACTATATAAGATCAGATAATAACCAAAAAAATAAAAACAAAACTAAAGGAGAATAAAAAAAATTACAAAATTTCTTCATCAAAATTAACCAAACCACCGGGCATTTAAGTTTCAGCAATCAACCAGACAGTTATTCAATCACTAACAATAGGTAACTTAATTGTTGATGACTTCTACTGATTACTAATATAAACAGTATAAAAAATCAACACAAAAACAAACTTACAAAAAAAAAAACAATCGAATCACTTTGCAGGAATAGAAAAATAAACGAAAATTTAAAATCATTTCGCGAATCTTCATTTGTAACGTAATGAGATGAAAAGAAAACCACACACAAAAAATCCAATTCGCTAAATAAATTGCAAAGAATTGAAAAAATCAAGGAAATTTGCATTTTGATCTGCATGGTGTCCGGATGTACATAAATTGATCGATTGATTGATGCACTCCTAACTCAGTTATATATACGAGAACATGAAAATGTACATGCTTATATGTTAAGCGGATGGGCTTAATATCAAATTCGTAGTACCAAATGTATACATACATTTATACATTGTATATGTATATACATGAGATATGCATATTAAAGACTTGTTATTAAGCTTCGTTTTTCTGTATAACATAAAATAAAAACTAAATAAAAAATTTTTGCGAAAGCATTGTTATTTGCCGATAACTATTTTGCCTTTTAAATCTCATACAAATTACAATCATTAAATTGGAAACAAAACAAATGTATATATTTTTTGTATGTATGTATGTGCGTTAATTTGTTGTATATAGTTTCAACGTATAGTAAGAGAAATGACTTTCTTGGGGGCAACAAATCAAACGAGATCATCTCTTTTTTTTTATTTATTGAAATTATTTTGCCTTAATTGGAAATCTCCGGATTCTTCCAAAAGTTTTTTCTTTATTTATATTGTAAAAATGTGTGTTATGTGTATTATGCAGTGTGCAAAAACGCGTAAGTAGATAACTTCAAAGGTTCTCGAATTGTCTCCGAAAATAAAATTAAAAAAAAAAATAATATAAAATGCATATTTTAATGGTAGAGAGTGTTTCAGTAATATTGAAGTACAACGTAAAACGTGAGAATTTGTTTAAAAAATTTAAACAGCACATTGAAATTTTCGAAAATGAATTGGTAAATTTAAATGCTTCACTCTCGAAAATAAACATATAATTTGCTGGTGACCGACACATAAATAGACGAAGTAGCAAGTAATGCTTTTTAGCTTGTGCTGAAGTTTTTTATCTTCTATTGAATATTTTCAAAGGGATTCATAAAAAAAATGAAAATCGTATTATTCGTCTGTCTGTTTATGTGATTGTTTACAAAATTATTAGGCTTTTGATATATAAGAAAGCAAAAATTTCATATACTTAAACGTGGTTGATTCTCTGTGTGAGACTAGTTTTTATAGAAGATAGTTTTTTTAAGCTCTTGGGGTTGTAGATTGTAGATTTTAAGGGAACCGAGTGGGACAGGAGTAACCCGCCAAGCCACCGCAGCCAATCTTGACTTATTGTAGCCTCCCCACGTTCCCACCTATAATATCCCCGTCCTAACCACAAAGCCGGAGATATCTCTAAGGGAGTTGGACAACAGTTCCCGAACACTTAGGGACCCATGTCCAAGACAGTCGCAGAGAATGTGCACGGGCCTGCCGTTATGAAGTGAATCGGATTCACAGCCCGCTAATAGTGAAAACAAAATAAAAATTCAGCAACAGCTCTTAGGGTTACAACCGATAAAATTCTTAAAAATATTCTCTTTCGTAACTTATTATAAAAAAGCCGGTAAATGTATTCTTTAGGAAAATATAGTTACATTATGTCTACTAATCAACATACTTTGTTAATTCTAATCCTAATTCTTCTCAATTTTTTTCTTGTACTTTAAGACCAATTGGTTTGACAGGACTTTATTTACTTTTTGATTTATTTTAAAAATATTTTGACATTTGCGCTTAGATAAATTCCAATATTCATTTTATAAAAAAAACCTTTTTTAGCAATAATGTAACTTTTAAATATGATTTTATAAACAGTTTTCAACTACGCCTTTTTAAGATATTTTAGTTTTCTTTTTATTAAATTTTGTATGATTTTCTAGGTTTTATTTTAAATAAAATAAATTGGGAAATGCTTTCAAAGTAAATCCACATTGGGAATTTGTTTGAGAGGAAAGATATGAATCCTCTGTTTAGTTAAAATAGTTTCTGAAAATAACTGAATTCTACTTGAGTAATAAAATATCAGATATTTTAATGGTATATCACTTGAAATATCTCAAAATTAGTATTTATTACATATTAAGTTCTTACTCGTAAATTCTCTTGGATGCGACACTCTATATAGGTCTATATAATATGTATTATACAACAAATACCTATTCGTGTACATATAGGATTAATATTTTTATAATATGTAGCAATATGTACGTGTATGCATACATATGGTCAACTTATTACAACAGTTCGAATAATTCTAGAGGAATGATCATTATTACCACCATTAAAATATCAATGTCACATTGATCAGTAAATTTTCTTTAGCATAAAAACATTTAGGATAAAAAAACTTCGCAAAAAAATATAACCTTAAATTTAGAAGATTTATTTGACTGAAGTATATAAAAGCGTATACTTTTAAATAAACGGACCAAAAAAAATCCAAGTGATTTGTGCAATTTGATGTGACACTAAACGATTGATCATGTCATTCTTTTGTTCTTATACTCTTGTAAAACGATGTAATCAAAACGCGTCGCTAATCGCTGATCTTTTTTTATGAATTTTGTGTTTTTCTTCTTAAATTAAGTATAGAAGAAAATAAAAAATAAGAGGCAAGGATTGTGAACAGCAAAAAATATTTTGTTTTTTAATTTGTGTGTTTATACTGTTAATATATGTATGCTTTTTTTGTTTTCATTTTTTGTTTATAAAATTTCTTAATTCATAAAAACTTACTCACTAACCTTCTGAAATTAATCTTTCACGAATTTCCCACGCAAATATCGTCGGATTTTCTCTTTTATATTGTTCAATTTTTGATACTACAGCCGGCGTTGCCACTTTTGGTTTTGAACCACCTATTAAACCAGGTGGTCGTAATGTACCTGTAAAGAAATGATTAAATAATATTTTTATTGTATTTTAAATTTCTTAGTGGTGTTATTAAACTAATTTAATAGAAAAAAATATTAAAAATATGAAATTTTGTATATATATATATATTAAAATAATTATGTATATATAATATAAATTTATATAATATGTATACTAAAATTATAATATACGTGTGCTATAATATAAAAGATTAATCTTTTTCTACAAATTATGAGCAGGATTTTGTTATAAAAAATGCTATTTCATTCACTGTATACATAAATTATAATTTATATTTACGAGAAGGTTACTTAGAACTAATGGAATAAAGCTGACTTAATTCAATACATATCCTACAAAACTGAAGTTAACTGCATTTTGGAACTGTAATAGATTTGAAAGGCACGTTTTCAAAGATTTCAGAAAATTTGCTATTCTTGCATGGAATGAAACGAATTGAAAAGAAATATCCACTGGCTTAAAATTTCCGTCGGGAGCAAAGAAAAAACGTTAAACCGTTCCAAATTTATTCTTTATATAAAGACTTCTAAATAAAATTCATTTTACGTTTTGATGAAAATTTATAATATTAAATAAACTTTACAATAACATTTCTTCATTCTAAATTATTGTAGTTGTTTATGAATTTTACATGCTTACAGGTGACGTTTTTAATTTCCATTACATAAAACTTGCTATATATGTAAGTAATTTGTGCAAATCCTAATTTGTGATGTATCTAAGAAAAGGTAGACATATCAGGCAATAAAAGTTTTCCATAAATTAGAAATTATAATAATATGAAGTAATTTTTAAATTAGGAAATCACCAGAGCCTTATTAGACTTGGTTACTTGAAATTTCTTTAAAAAACTTCTTGTGCACAAATACTTTTACTGTACGTTAAATACAAATTCCTTTTTTAAATTTGATTGTAAAATGGTTTTATAAAAAAAATTTTATAAAAATATAATAAAATTAGTAACACGATTCTGGGAGCTGTTGTGAAACAATAGAATAAGCAAGTGTATCTGTTCAGGAGCTAATCTGATGTACACAAATGTAATTCTCTAAACCTAAAACAAACAGAGTTGAATTTTAATTATAAAATAACAATAAATGAACGAATCTAAAGATATGTAGAAAATTTAGTTTGAATTAACCTTAGTTAGCACCTGAATCTATTAAAAAAAAATTTATGCAAATTTATTGAAAACAATTAATCGTTTACTCTAATTACACGCTAACCTTTATCCGAATACAAAATATGAACGAAATTTGCATAAAAATCAAATTGATTGCACATTACATCATAGCGGATGCAAAATTTCCGTGTTTTATTTCTATTCCTATTGAAAAGTGCAATTGTGAATGAATTTTTCCCGTGTTCTTTCATTTTGTGTTTTAGTAATTATAATGTATCTGTGTACATGCAAATTTCAGTAATATATGTACATAGAATAAGTATATGAAAGTGTAAGTAAGCAAAATTAAATCATTGTAATTTACGCGTTCTGAAAATTTTTATTTCACACAACTGCTAAATTGAAATTGAGCTTGAAATGAACTTAAATTAAAATTACAATTATTTCTTTTTTGTCTTTCAGAGTTTTGAATTAGAAAAATAAAAAGACAATTTGGAATTGTCATGTAAATGAAGCCCTCGGAATTTTTGTTTTTTTATTTTCCTTTGTTTTTGGTAGTTAATTGATTTTAAATATGTGAAGCTTTTAGACTTCCTCTCTTCATAACTTAAACTCATTATAATGAGGCTTTAAATTTAATATTATTAGAAAAGAATGAATGATTTGTTTAGTGTTCACTTCCGCATAACATCCGTTGTTCAATTAATTCTCACAATGAATGTAAATTAATTTTATATAGATGTAATTATTTTTATTGTAATTGTATGTATTCATTTAATTATTAATGTTAAAAAGATTTAATTGGAAAAGTTTTAAATAAAATGAATTTAAGAATTTAATTATACAAACACAATGTTATGGTTAAATAAAATTTTTAGCTATGGTTAAATAAATTGTTTTGAGTCAAAACGGGTGTCAATTTGTGCAAGTATTTTGTTAGGATCTCCTTTTTCTTCGATTGGAACTTACTTTTATCAAGAGAATTTTTGAAAATATGAATTGAGTGTAAAACGAAAAATGCTAAAGAGGAAATTCATTTTAAAACGTAAATCTGCATAAATCGCAGAGAACGTTTGAGTACCGAAAATTGTATTTATGATTTCAAATTCAAGCTGAGGAATTTTGTCCCGTTTTTTTATTAAAAAGAGACTTTGACTAAAAAGAGACATTCTACTCGTTTTACCTTATTTTCCCCAAAATCGGAAAAATCGTTCTTTTGTTACAGACTTTCCGTCTTACGTGTGCATTGATTATGATATGACGTATACATTGATATGACATTTGGGGCAATCTAAATAAGATACTTTAATTTTTAAGAGATAAAACAATAAAAATTTAGATATACTTTATTTATTTTGAACGAAGATAATATTATTATACCGTGTTAAATACTGTCACTTCAAAAATATTTTCCATATATATTTTTCCAAAATGAAAATTATTTTTTTCTATGCATTTCTGCGAAATCTGAATGGCGTCTTCTTCTTGTTGAGATACAAAGATTTTCTTCGCCTCTTCTGACCGTTTTCCGAGACAGTTTCAAATTCAAATTTTTCTTAATTAGTTGCAGAATCTTAGTTGAAATAACAAAAAGATTTTTCATATTTAAGTGTACGAAATACAGCCCTGCCTTCATTGTCAATTACAAGTTTTTTTTGTACTCGGATATTCTGTTTTTTATGTCTTCTTAGAACATTTGTGTTCGCTCTTCCCATTTTTATTTTCTATGAATACGTCGACAATATTTGTAAATCAAATTTATTTGCTTTTAATGTAACAGTTTTAAAACCTCAGAAAAATTTTAATAATTTCAAACTAAAGCTTGAACAAGCATTAAAATAATAAATATTTTTCAAACTTTCTTATTTGAAAGTCTACAATATAATCGAAACTGTACATTTGTGACATTTGTTGTATTGATATACCGAAATCTCACTCAAAGATTTTCTTCACCTCTTCTGACCGTTTTCCGAGACAGTTTCAAATTCAAATTTTTCTTAATTAGTTGCAGAATCTTAGTTGAAATAACAAAAAGATTTTTCATATTTAAGTGTACGAAATACAGCCCTGCCTTCATTGTCAATTACAAGTTTTTTTTGTACTCGGATATTCTGTTTTTTATGTCTTCTTAGAACATTTGTGTTCGCTCTTCCCATTTTTATTTTCTATGAATACGTCGACAATATTTGTAAATCAAATTTATTTGCTTTTAATGTAACAGTTTTAAAACCTCAGAAAAATTTTAATAATTTCAAACTAAAGCTTGAACAAGCATTAAAATAATAAATATTTTTCAAACTTTCTTATTTGAAAGTCTACAATATAATCGAAACTGTACATTTGTGACATTTGTTGTATTGATATACCGAAATCTCACTATGTTAAACGCAATTTAGAATGTTGTAAAGTAATAACATAAAATTTATTAAAAGACTATTATGACTTAGAATATTCTAAATTTAGACAAAAGAACCTTAACGGCAAACTACTTTTGTTAGAATAAAATTTTAACCTGTCATGATACGAAATTAAAATCTGTTCTGCTTTTAATACTTTTCCAAAAAAATTTTGAAAAAAGTGCTTATTAGTTTCACTCTGTCCCGTCCGTCTGTCCGTTTGTCCATCTGTCCGTGTGTCTGTTTACAAAACTTCTACACGCTTAAAGGTAGAAAGCTGCAATTATGTACACAGATATTTACTAAAAACTTATTTCCGTAGAAGAAAATTTTTACCTATTTCGCCCCCTTTAAAACTAATGGGTGGATTCTTCAACCGAGGATTATCATATTTGAACTTTGAAAAAACGAAATGGAAGTTAAAATTAACCGTTATCTAAAATCCATTTTTTTAAAAAATTTTGACATCGTTTTTCTCCAGATCGCATGTTTTAGGTGCCTGAAATTTTAGCAGCTTTTAGGCACTAATAAATAGTTCAATTCAAATGTGTTACTTCAATAAAGTTGGGTCAAACCAATGCTTTGTATTGTAGCACTTTTCCCTTCAACAAGTGAAAATACTGCTACAAAAAACAATCGATGTATACCTACCACACTATCAAAATTATTTTCATTCATATACGAAACTATTTCTAGGATTGCATATATTTAGGATATAAAATTTATATAAAGTTAATTGCGCGAGTTAAGAAAAATAATTATATTTTTTAAAGTCATGGAATTTACCGTTAGCTTTTTACGTTTATAGAAATTTGAAAAAGATTGCGGTTTCGGAAATATAAAGCGTCAAGAATTCAAATTTTACAAATTTCAAGAGGCGATAACTCGAGAGGGGGCGGAGATGGAAAAAAGTTTTCTTCCAACGAAATGAACTTTTTGTTAGTGCCTAAAAGCTGCCAAAAATTTCAGGCTCCCACATCCTTGGGTCTATATGAAAAACAACATCAAAAATTTAAGAAAAACGGATTTTATGTAACGGTAAATTTTAACGGCCATTTTGTTTTTTTAAAGTTCAAGTATAGTATGCGTTTGTAGAATTTGAAAAAAGCATATAGTTCAACTACACTAAACAGTTGAAAATGGCATTTTTAGGGTTTTGGGGATGTATAACTTTTACAGGGGACTTATAACTTTTAGGTAAAAATTATGTTCAATGAAAATTAGTTTCTAGTAAAGATCTATGTACATATAAAATTTCAGGTTTCTATCTTCAAGGGTGTAGAAGTTTTGTAAACAGACACACGAACCGACGGACAGAGTGAAATTAATAAACACTTTTTTTTTGATTCGAGTTATTTTGTTATAAACTTATATGGTAGGTCTAATATAATCAAAATGTAATATTATTACTATAATTCGATTGCCAAACCCAATTTGATCACGATATTTAAATACCACACATATATTTAAAAGTTATATTAATACTCACCTAATAATTTTGAAACGGCACCCTGTTGTGTTAACATATGCTGAGCTAAATCATAACCTCTAAGACCAAATCTTGATAATTCTAATAAGCGATGTTGTGAGACTAGCGCTGACAAAGTTGATGGTGATGGATTGCCACCACTAGGAAATATTCCACCACTTGGACTTGGTACTGTACCTGTTGCTGATGGTACTGTCGGTGAAAGACCAACTATAAAATTAAGTTAAATAATAAAAATTAAAAAAAAATAAAAAAAAATATATTTTCATAAATATTAAAAAAAAAATATACGAAATTAAAAAAAAGCAAAAAATAAATTTATTTCTTTAATTTTCCAAATAAGGAAAAAACATAAGTTCCAACACAATAAAACAACATTTTATGTGCGTACAATGATAATAAGTCCATTTGGGATTTTATCAAAATCATATCAAAGAATTCCAAAACAACCATTATTACAATTTCTCATACAATACGATAAATTTACCATGTAGTGCCTATTCGTACCCACGTATGTATGTAAGTACTCGTATATTAAGCAATGATCAGAAAATTTCAAACAAGGTGTGAAAAATAATTTTTTTAAAATGTCCATAATAATGTGAGAATAATTTTAAGGACGACGGTAGCAATGAAAAAAGAAACATAAAACAGTTTATAAACAGCATATATGTACGTATACTTCTATGTATATAAAGGATTTTCATACTTATGATTATGTTATGTATATTCTATGTATGTACTCCTAAATAGGCTTAAAATAAAAACAAAACTATCGAAAATTCTTAACAGTCAGCCTTTAAAATTCCATTACAAATATATGAAAAATGTAAGTTTCACTAAATATCACCATTAATGTCAGACCAACAAGACTAAAGCGGTAGGTGATACGTCATTTATTCCTTATAATTCCCTCACTATACATACTTGCATTTATTTGTACGTACAGCTCAGAATAAGGTAGCGAATAAATGTTACTAAAAAAGGACTCTATATATTAAGTATATATAAAATTTATGTTGCACATAGTCATATGGACATGTAAAAATTGCAATGAGTTATACTGGAAAAAAAAGTTAAATTTCATCACGTTTTGGAGTCAATCGACAAAAACGCTTAAGGAATTTTTTCCATGTTATAATCTGTTTTTTGTTTCTTTTTTGTTTGTTGGGTTTTAAAGTTCATTTTAAAACAATAAAAAAAACTTATAAACTTGATAACAAAATTTTTTAAATATTTTCAATCACTTTGCTTGTAACTTTTTAATACCTTTCCAATTTTTTAGCTTTCTATATTCTTTGTTTTTTTTTTTTGTTTTTTGTAATTGTCGTCATTTATATTATATAACAAATAAGAACCAAATATTTCAACGTGAATTCTTTAACATTCAGAAGAATTCGCGTACAAATATAAGTTGGCACAATAGTTAGACAGCTGGCTAACACCGCACAATTTGTAAATGATATTAAGCAAGTAAAATCAAATGATTGCTTAGCATTCCAATAAATTAATATGAAATTTCTTTTAAAAATTTATTTATATACAAACATAACATACCTAATGCATATGTACGTACAGGCTCAAACGAAAAATAATTTAAAAAAATACTTTTAAAATATGAAATGAATCTGGTCTGTGAAAAAAGTTCTTGAATTATTTATAATAAAATTTGCAATAACACAAACTCAAGGCCCTATAGTTTTACACTATTTCACATTTATTATGTTGACCTTTCGCTTACATAGGAATAAGCCAAATTCAAATTTTTGTAGCAATCAAGTTATATATCAATAAATGGTCTAAAAGATCCAGGATAGCTAAATTTTGCCTAAAAGAAAAACATTTTTTTTGCCCATGTTCGGGTAACCATATTCAAAGATATTATCTTTAATATTTCAAAAATTAATAAAAATATTAATATAAAATTTTTTATAGGTGGGTTCAATTACATCTTTTATAGTTTTACAAATTTCAATGGGGTGTCTGCACTGACTTGGTTAGGTGCTATACAACTCAAAAAAGTAATTTTAATTCGGAAAAATAATAAACTTAGGTTTATGAAACTTGGCAGTTTTATCTAATTTTGTCCAATTATACTCGTATGTCAGGAATATCCGTGAAGTTTTATTCTAAATATTTCCAAAATAGTTTTTTATACTCAAATTGTCAAGGTGCAGGATATAATTCACGTTTCTTTTTTTCCATAAGCATTTTTAAAATTTCGCAGCAAAGTGGTGGCAAGTATTTGAAGTTTTGGCACCTTATACTTCCGAAATTGTAATCTTTTCTAAATTTCGATAAATGCAGAAGACTAACCGTAAATGCCATGCCATCAAAAAATATATTTATTTTTCTTAAATCACGCAAGTAACTCTTGAATTCGGGCATTATGTTAAAGCCTCTTTTAATTTTTTTCACTCGTCCTAAATGTATGCAATCTTTGAAGTGTTTTCATATATGTAATTTTATTAGTATAGTACAAAGGCTGTTTTTATTTTCACCGGTTGAAGGGAAAAGTGCTGCATTATACACCATTAGTATTTTTAAGAAAATATCATTATTCTTGTTGGATAGTTTGTCATATTACGAAAAAAAAAAAATACTCTATCTAGTGCATTTCTCTTGTACCGTTACTTGATAAAGAGGAGTTTATTACTCTAAGACTCTTTGTCTTAATTACAATAACATATAAACCTGTACAATAATTTTGTGCAAACAATCAATTTAAGTCAACGTGAAAAAATTGATTGTGAACTAAAAAAGCTTAAGTTAAATGAAATAAACACTATAATTGAATTTTGGCAACTAAAATATGAAAAACTCTAAAAAAACAGAAAAATTATTACAAGATTTAGAGATTCTTCATTTTTAACTAAAGATATAAAATACTGAAATAGAACACAGTTACCAGACTGCTATAGAGCTCTACTTAAATTAAACTAATTTCTCATAAATGAATTATTTTCCAAAAATATTTTATATACATATGTATTTATTTATTATTTTCAACATATTAAACGGTGGACAGGTGTGTTAATTAATTTCATTTTATTCTATTCTAAAAACATTTAAAATTTTTTAATTGCTATATTTATACTGTAAAAAATGCACTTATATTAGTCATTATATCTAAAATTATCTATAAATCTAAGAAATTTTTTTTCATATATGATTGTGTGTATATACTTATGTACAAGTAATAAACATTAAATTATTTATTCAATAAAATTGCTCGAATTTTAATAATAATATTGTCAATTTCATTTTAATTTCTACTGCTTAGGTTTCCTATGGGATTTAATTTATACATATTTTACAATTAATATGATTAAGATCATAAAACTTAGATATGAATTATGTATATTTATGGTAATAATATAAAAATTAAAAAAAAAATAATTATTATGTGTAGTCATACTAGAGCAACAAATAAGGTTTTATTTTTGAGTTATTTAAACCAATGAAATTCGAAAATATTTATTAGCAAAGAAATATTACACGTATTACCTATTTTTTTACTGGGAATTGCGAAATTTTCGTAAAGAATGAATTGAAATTAATCATCCGCTTCTTAGTTGTCAAAAGTTTAACATTTATTGGTATTTTATATGAAAGCAATTTAATTTTAAATTTAAAATTTAAATGTTTTCGAGTAAATGAAACAATTAATTTAATGGGCCTATGTAACGGAATAACCTACCATACACAGCACAAATGTACGTTTGTTTATTTTCAAATTCAAAATTAATTAATTTCAAAATATAATTCCCTTTAATAATGTTTTTGTTATAAATTGCTACTAATATTTTGTCTTCAAAACACGAGTTTCTGAAATCCTTAAATTAATATAAGCTTCTAAGCATGTTGATATTTAGAGTGTAAATTCAATTTTTGATACATTGACTTACTCTAAATAACTTTCGCTATCGAAATCGATGAAATGGATATAAGTAACAATATATCAAAGGCGGCAAAACCGTTTTTATAATTATTATAATTCACTGTATTTCTATACTATTAGTTTGGACTTAATTGAGATGAATGCAATAAATTAAAGTAATTAATAAGCAATCATAAATTTCAAATCCTTTCAATAAAAACTATGTGATATCATCAATATCATTTTTAAAATATTTTCACTTTCAATAATTCGACATAAATAGTATTATTAATTACAGCTGATGAATTGATAGAATCATACAACCATATTACACATACAATATAAAGAATTCTAAATTTAATATAAACAAAAAAAAATTGTTCACCACACTGCCACAAAAAAAAAAAAATTTCTGTAAACCTAAATTTTAAAATTTATATGTTAATTTTTATTAAAATCCATTAATTTTAAATTGTGCATTAAATTACATTTATTATTTTTAGTAATAAAACTTGATTAAAAATTTTCCAATTCGGACTTAAATAATTTCAATATTGCATTTATTAAATTAAATTAAATCATATATAAGCTGATTTATTTTCCACAATAAGAGAATTAATAAATTTATTAATAAAAAAAAATTTCGAACATGTTTTGTATGCCAAATCATATTTAATGGTAAAATTGTTACGATTCCAGTTAACTGTTATACAGTACTATATATTCACAATATGTATAGTACTCGTATTTATGTACGAATATTATTCAGTGTTAAGTTTTTTGTTAAAATATTTTTACACCTTATTATTCGCATACACTTTTTAATAAAGTACTTTATAATTATAATATAAATATGTTATATATATACATATATATATTTGTATAATAAAAATATTCCAATAATTTATACTACACTCTTTTGCGCGACAAACTCCAAAATATAAGAGAAAAAGAAAAAATGTGAATTGAAAAGTTGGAAAATAGATAACGCGAATGAGTAGGCAGTTCAATAAGTTGGTATAACTAAATAAGCAAGCAAGTAAGCAAGTAAGCAAAGATTCAACTTAATTTAATTGAAAATGGTTTATTTTAATATAAAAACGCAAAAAATAATAAGAAAGCAAAAAAAAACGCTCCACGAAAAATATTTTTTTAATTTTTTCCTTTTTGCTTATCTTTTTCTTCATTTCATTTTTTAGTTATACAGTAAATCAAGTCTATATAGATTGACTAACTGTCATAATTTCAAATTAATTATAAAATATATACATACATACGTTTTATGAATTTATAAAATTTATTTTACATATATAAGGTAATGTGCACTTGA